TATTTTCTAAACATTGTCATTCATTATTTTATATATCTATGAATTTTTCAGGTTTTTACAAAAATTTATAAAAATACAAACAAATGTGTTTTTAAGAAGAATGATGAAAAAGAGATAAAACATGACTTGTTCAGTTCATGGAATGAATGGAGTACCATATCAGCACGAACGTTTCTGAAACTTGGTAAGCACGAAGTAGACAGTCTTATGAACCATAGGAAAAATCAGAACATGATTTGATATTACGGTTAGCAAGTTATGACCGAGGAAGGTTACGAAGCCGCAACTTCAAGTTTTTTCACAGATCAGGCCACGACGAACCAGGCTACAATCTTCACACCATTGGGTCCGTAACATCTTTAGGATTTCAAATCCGATGTGTATAGACGAAGAAAAAGCTAAATGAAAAACGCATGGACTACGATCCGATACGGGTCGACCACGCCGATCGTTATACCGACCGGTATGGAGTCACATTCGTCCCGTGACACGCAAGGCCCATACCGGACGCGCGTATCGGTCCAAAATCGCGACCGATACTCGGGACACTCTGCCCCATCCCGCAGCCCGCCTCGTACCAGTCTCTCCCATCCCGCGACACGTACCGACCCGCGTCCCCGATCGATATCCGGACCGGTACGTGACCTGCGGCTTGTGATCTCCCACATTCTACCCGCGACCAGCCCGTCACGTGATCCTCACCAACCCGTGACCAACCCATCCCGCGTCCCAGCCAGTCCCACGACCCAAGCCTCCCGCCTCGTCCCGCGACACGACCCGCGGTGAAATTTTGGTCATGAGTATCGGTCCACCTACCCGACCGATACTCGGCCGAATATGACCCGCGACAACCCGTATCCCATCCCACCCGATATCGGTCCACCACGCCAACGGGTACCACAACCGTTATTACCTCGTCCCGTGACTCCAACTCCACCAACCACCGTCTCGTGCCGCAAACCGCCTTGGACCCAAGCCACAACTCGACCATCCTTGCCCGCGACTAGCCACCCGACACCTAGACCGGGACTGGCCACACCGCATCCCCATCAACCACCAAGCCATTAGAGCCATGGACCATCGGACCGCCACTTCGAACCACTGAACCACTGAGCCGACCACCTAACCGTTTGGTTAAATAAGGTTAATTCTTCCTTTTTCACTCTTTTAATTATTTTACAACCATTTTTDACACATAATTTTTAAGAACCAATTTATTTTTGCATTTTCATGATTATTTAACTAAAAATTATTTCTTTCATGAATAGTTGCAATAGAAATTAAAATATTGGTTAGATTTAAATGGTTTTAAATATGATTTTCACATCTTGACATATTCACTCATTGATTTCATTTAGATTGATAATTTTTAACAATTTGGATTTATTATTTGATTTTTTTTTGTTTTTTATCTATTTTTTCTTCCCTTGGACTTGGAAATCAATACACATGTATTGAAGACTTTGATCCAAGATGAATTTAACAAGTGATTTCAAGTGTTTTT